TTTTATTTTCTTCATAATCTTTCTAATAGTTATTATTTCATTCATAATGCAACAGTAGAGTTACAAAAAACGCAAATATCTGCTGTTGATATTTTATAAATTGTTTTATCAAAAACGTTTATAGGCACGCCAGCATTCCATTACATTCACAGCATGATCGATGACTTCGAATACATATTAGTTGAAAGGTAATCTACAGGAGATATAAAATTGAGCTATTATTGGTCCTCGATCTGACAATTTCAAATTACCACATGCATAGTATATTCTATTTTTATTCCGTATGTATAAATATAGAACATGTGTGCTCACTTGTTTGTGAACACTACGTATGTGGTAACTTGAAATTGCCAGAAAAAAATTTATAAAATATCAACAGCAGATATTTGCGTTTTTTGTAACTCTACTGTTGCATCATGAATGAAATAATAACTATTAGAAAGATTATGAAGAAAATAAAAAAGGTTTCAAAAAAATCTACAAATTATTTTCCAAATTGTACAATATAAATGTATCCAGGTAGTATTGTTTAAAATACAGTCATGGGTCCATGTTCATTCTTTTGAGTAAATTTTGATAGAAATATAACAACGGTCTATATCCGTGGTGTAGTCATAGACCTGTTGCATGTTTTTATTGAAGTAGAATTGTAGAAATCATCTCACAGGATCTTTTCTTCCCTATTTATATGCGTTATAACGTTATAAAACATGCTCTTTCTTAAATTATGGTACTACAACGCTATAGATTTATCTCATTACAATGCGACAGACGTAGTCCGTCGTGTTATAATGCGCCGCAAAGTTATTTTGCAGGAATTTATGGCGTTGTAACTGGATAAAAATTTCCATTGCTTTACAACTCAATAACTTTATAGCATTTTAATGCGTTTCAATTTTTTATCTCGTTACAACTCAACTAGACTTGTTCTACCGCCTTATAATAGGTTAGATTCTAATGTATTATAACGCGTTTGGGTTTTCTACTTTAATAGAATGCGTTATAATACCTTAGATGTTTTATCTATTTATAATGTCACAAATTTGGAAAAATCTTTTATAGCGTTATAACTCATTAGATAATGCATATCGTAGTGTAACGAGTTAATATGTAATAGATTACAATGCATTATTCTTTTCTATCTCATTTCAATGGGACAAGAAAATGGATCGTTGTGTAACATATTAAATATTAATGCATTAGAACCAGTTACACAATATGCAAAACAAAAATACATGGTTTTCTCGTAAATGATACATTGCCATAAAATTCTGAGACTGCCAATCGATTTCTTTCGAACTATCACGTATAGCACGTCACAACACTTAAACAGTTAATGCTTTGTAATGCCATAAATTTATAACGTTAATTTATAATGTGTTAGGCGATATAGCGGTATAATACATTAACCTGTAACGCGTTATAATGCGATAGGAATTTAGCAACGCCCTGTAACGGTATACAAAATATTAAAGCTTTAGTCGAAATTATAGCGTTGTAACATTGTAAAATATAAGAAAGTCGTTGATAAAAATGCATTATAACACTATAATTTCAATTTTTTGGCAGCTTTTCCACGTAACGCGTTACGTTAATGGGCTACAATGCAATGACGACATGTTTTTTCTAAATTTATCGCGTTGTAACACAATATAATACCTAACACATTACAAGGCATTATGATATGCTTAATGGATTATAATGTAATAAATAAAAAGAAAAGATCCTGTTGATGTTCCAGATTTTGTACCACATCGGTCTTTGAAAGAGGTGTCACTGTGTCCTACAACAACCTATAAGTCGAATACAGCCAGTAGATAGGTTTACTACAACAATAGATAGTCTAACAGTTCCAATCATGTTCTGAATTTACGTTAGAGTTTTCACCATCCTATCTAAGATCTGTTTGTCCTCTGAGTGTAGAATTTTATGTGAAAATAAGATTATGTATATATATAGTGAGTGGTGCGTCTTTTGCAGAAACATCCGAAACGCAGTTTAAAAGATCAAACTTAAGCCGTTTTTCAATTAAAAATAAGCTGTTGCGCTCAATGAATTTCCTAAAATTATATAAAGTACGAATAGTTTCAGTTTAGCTGTCATATTGTTCAACGAAACAATGACTAGAGCAAACTTAGGCAGTCAGATGAATACTACAATGAATAGTCGAGCAGTTACAACAACTTATGGTTTACACGCATACTATACCCTCTACTATAGTCTACTGACACCAGTCATCTTTGGCATATATCTTTACGGTTACATTATTATATTTCTGTTGGGTTTTATCGGAAATATCAGCAGTTTGTTGACATTTTCACGTAAAATCCTACGAAAAGTATCAACAAGTATCTTTTTCCTATCATTATCCGTTACCGATACGATTTATTTGTTAACCTGCGTGTATGATTTCACACAAATGGGCTTGAAAATACCAGATCCATCATCAACGAATAAGTATCAACGTCTATGCCAATTTCGAAACTTCATAGCCTATTCAGCTATCAATTGTTCAGCATGGACACTATTTTCAATATCGGCAGATAGATGGATCCGAACAAGATATCCGACAAAAGTGGGTCGAATTTGTACACCACGAAATGCTGCGGTGACACTACTTTCCATTTTGGTATTTTCGATGGTAATGAATAGTCATTATTTAACACCAATGTTTGGTGCATTCGTGCCCGTAAGTATTGGTAAAGCAGAATGTTAATATCCTCACATTAATGTTCTATCCATGATTTCCAGGGTTTAACAATACTTTGTGCTCCAAATAATGTTCATCGGGTTTATCCTTATTACGATTTTTATACGAAATATTGGCAAATAATTCGAGCATTGATTAGCATAATCATTCCCGCTATACTCATGGTATTAGCACTTGGTGATATGTTTGTCAATATATATAAACGACGTCGAAGTCTTCTTGGTCAACGAACAAATGAAGGACTAACCGTTCACAGCATCCGAAACACTTTGACTATGAACAATATCATGGATACTACTAAAATAAAACAAAGTAGTTTTATTCAAAAACAAATGTTTATCTTAATGTTATCATCAATCATTGTTTTCTTGGTAACAACATTACCAATGGCCACTTATTATATTATCGTTTATCAACCAGCTGTATCATTAGATAGATCAATAACCAATGTCGTTTTGATGTTATGCCTATTCACATTTACATTAAATATAAACTATGCTATTAACTTTTATATACATTGTCTAACATCAAAATTATTTCGAAAAGAATTTATCAGTATTATGTTTAGAAAGCATGCAACACGTATAAATACAATATCAGTAAAAATGTGATACCATAATCACGTTTGATGATACACAATGAAAACTATAATCACGATGAGGGATATTTTTGAAACGATTTTTAACTGTCCTCCATCTTCGTTTCCGCTTATCTGTTAATCGATCATTCTTGTCATATGAATCCACAACTTCCTTCGTATATTCAAGACTGTACGAACAAAGAAATGTATTTTCTTTTTCATCATGAGTATAATAATCATTTGAATCGACATTACTTTCGCCATGTACAGTTAAAGTGGATTGTAGCCTGATAATATGTCTGTGGCATTTGAATAGAGATATGAAGAAGAAACACGAAAGACAAGAGTTATATTCTTGCAGCGAAAGCAGGCAACGAATCCAGTCACGTATTGCAATAAACCATTATATTTTGCCAGAAAAAGAAAGTAACTTTAGTCTGGCATATTTGAAAACAGATAGTAAAGTAGCTAAAAGTGTATATATTAGATTTAACGACATGTCGCGGTACGGTTACTAGTCGGTGATTTTTTCATAAAGCCACGATTTGTCGTTGATTTTGTGTTTTTTGAAGAGTCCATCGGATCGATGACTAACCGAATTTTATGAGTTCATAGATTCGCTGTCGGCCGGACTTTAGTTTTTCAGACAATGAACTACGATAAGTTCCATTTTTTAAATTGCTTTTTACATTTTACCAGTGGTTTTAAAACAAATATATAAGATGTTGATGTTAGAAAAAAAAACGTTTTTTGATTGAACTGGCAGTTATTTAAAAATTTTTGCAGCCACTGCGAAAGTCTACGTGTTCTGTTACTGACATCATATTTTTTCTTTGCTTTTAATAACCGATCGTGAAAAGCAGCAGCCTTTTATAATAGCAAGGACTCCAGGATTCCAGGAAATAGTGGAGTGCCTTGGAGTCCCCAGGAGTACCATGGAGTACCGTAGAGTAATGGAGTACCGTAGAGTAATGGAGTCTGCTGTTACCCCTTCTGCTGTTTGTCCACAAGAACTTCAGTTTACCATCAAGAAGTCGATGTTTTTACAAAACAACTAAAAGTGAGAAAAATGCGATAAATGTTTGTTTGCCTTTACTAACCACACTTGTTTCGTCGAGTATTTTACCGGTTTTTAGCATGGTGTTGGACAGTGTTTCCAAATTATATTTAATCCGGAACTGTTCTTTTTGTTTAACCAAGAGAAATGTTCAACGAAATCCATGCTTCTACACAAGAAGTTTTGGTCTTTTCCGGAAGAAATCGCTGTTTGCTCAAAAGAACTTGATGTTGGAGAACTCGATGGAAAGAATATATGTTTGTCCACAAGAAATCCACGTGTCACCACAAGAACGAATGGAGAACTTGATGGGAAGAATACTGCTCTTTGTACAATAACTTCGTGTTTTTTCATAGAGAAATAAATGTGTCACCACCAGAACTTCACGGTTTACCGTCTGAAAACGATTTTTCTACAGAACAACTACGTGTTTTCTCCTGACGAAATCGATGTTTCCACACAAGAAGTTTTGGTCTTTTCTGGAAGAAATCGCTGTTTGTCACAAGAACTTCGTGTTTTTCATAAAGAAATCCATGTGTCACCACGAGAACTTATATAAGAAATAGATGTTTCATGTCGAACTTCATGTTTTCTCGTCAGGAAGCCCGTGATTCTCCACAAGAACTTAGTGTTTTCACGTCAAGCAACTATTCTTTCCGAGAAGAACTTCACGGTTTATCGTCCAGAAATCGACGTTTGTCCACAAGAACTTCACGGTTTATCGTCCAGAAATCGACGTTTGTCCACAAGAACTTCACAGTTTATCCACAAGAATATTCTCACAAATTCTCAACAAATTCATGTTTCCACACAAGAAGTTTCTGTTTTTTCCGGAAGAAATTTTTTGTTTCTTGTATTTTTTGTTTCTGTTTGTCCACAAGAACTTCGTGGTGTCTCGTGCAGAAATAGATGTTTTTACACAACAACTATGTGTTTTTTCCTGAGGAAATCCATGTTTCTACACAAGAAGTTTTGGTCTTTTCCGGAAGAAATCGCTGTTTGTCACAAGAACTTCGTGTTTTTTCATAAAGAAATCCATGTGTACACCACAAGAACTTCACGGTTTATCGTCAAGCAATCGATATTTCTACACAACAGCTACGTGTTTTTTCCGAACGAAATGCATGTTTCTCCACAAGACCTTCGTGGTTTATCGTCAAGAAATCCATATTTCTGGACAACAACTATGTGTTTTTTCCTGACGAGATCCATGTTTCCACACAAGAAGTTTTGGTCTTTTCCGGAAGAAATCGCTGTTTGTCACAAGAACTTCGTGTTTTTCATAAAGAAATCCATGTGTCACCAAGAGAACTTATATAAGAAATAGATGTTTCATGTCGAACTTCATGTTTTCTCGTCAGGAAGCCCGTGATTCTCCACAAGAACTTAGTGTTTTCACGTCAAGAAACTATTGTTCACGAGAAGAACTTCACGGTTTATCCCCAAGAGATCGATCTTTCTACACAACAACAACGTGCTTTTTCCTAACGAAATTCAGGTTTCTTCACAAGATGAATTCGGAAGAATTGTCTTTTATTAACATGGGTGAAAACGGATGAAAATCACTTTTTATAAGTTATTTTTCGCGCACAATCCAGATCTGACATTTAGACACGTACGCGAGAATGTTTTATGGAGTTTCTAGAGAAATTGATGAGAATACAATTTCATGCAAACTGGTCTCGTCAGCAACAGATTCTTCACAATTTAAGGTAATTTGTACAGTGCAAAACAGACAGTCTAAATCAAGCCGTTGAAAAAAGTGAGAAAAATGCGATAAATGTTTGTTTGCCTTTACTAACCACACTTGTTTCGTCGAGTATTTTACCGGTTTTTAGCATGGTGTTGGACAGTGTTTCCAAATTATATTTAATCCGGAACTGTTCTTTTTGTTTAACCAAGAGAAATGTTCAACGAAATCCATGCTTCTACACAAGAAGAACAATAGAAGCAGAATGTTATAAAATAACATTGAAACAGTATGGATGAGGTATGGTGTACTATAGCTCTAATTTTTGTTTTTATTGCATTGGCATCATACTACAGCCACTTGCTACATCGCGATTTGTTTTATAAGGATAAATGCTTTTTGAGTTGTTAAACATAACTGAACGAGGATCTTAATGGAAGGCTTTAGCACAATATTACAGATCTTACATTACAGATCTAGATACACATCTTACAAATAGTATTTATAGCTAGACGTTTTAATTTATTTGCTAAATTTTCATTAGTAGCAGTACAAAAAAATGCAAAGTATTATTTTGTACTGCTACTGGTGAAAAATTAACAAATAAATTGAACGTCTAGTTATAAATACTATTTGTACGAATATAAAAACAATTTTATCTCGATTTATTTAAATATTATCAATATTCGTATATAATATCCCAAGATAAAGAAAAGGTACAGATCTGGCATCTTAGACGTTTAGGATAACCTTGACCACCCTATCAAATAAGTACATCCAAAACAAAATCTATTTTCTAATCATGTTATACGTTCCTTTCTACATATACTCATAGAATGTCTCTTAATCCATTATAAAAATGGAAACATGACAAAAACGAATTTCGAAGAATATTTAATCCCGTAGTCACGTACAATGATTTGTAATAATAAAAGAAAATTGGTTCTGTGTAACTCTATGGCACTTAATATATAGCAAATTATGCAATACAGATCGGTGAACTGTTATTCAATTAATACTCATCTATTGTAAATAATAATAACAACCATTTTTAAACTGCTTTTAACTGTATTCTGGTATTTTTCTCTCTTCTTCTACAAAAATATTTACTTAATATTCCGATATTCTTATCTTTGATGAAAAAGTAAGCTTACTCAATCGTTAATTTCATTCTTTTTAGTATGTATTAATACGTAGTTCTTCTCTTTTGTTGCATGTCAAACTCTCTGCTGGATATATAAGGGAGTAAATAATAAATAAAAGTTATAGAAAGATCTCTTCTTTAGTCATCGATCAATTTTGTACAAAAACTTGATTATCAATGCAGCTGTTCATTCAATCTATCATGGTATAAGATGAGATACTCAGAGACACAACGCTACCTAAGTCCTTTAAACTACCCATGAAATAATTTTGATACCCTAACGCAGGTTAGCATGCGTTAAAAAAGAACTTTTCGAGAAAATTGTGTTTGAACGGGTTAAATTTTCAAATATGACGCGTGCTAACGTTTCTTCGGAGCGGTAACGAGACAGATCCGGTTAAATATGGTTCTA